GGGCCATGTTTAAGAGAGCAGTGACAATTGTATTTCGTCAATTCACCCATAAACTAATTTAATTATTTTGTTCTGACTCCTGGACTTTTCCCATTAGCATCGATAGATGACAATGTAAAGAATACCTTGACTTATTTCTCGATGATCGTTTTTGTGCACCAAAAGACATTTACAAGCGGTTTTGTGTTATGATGATCTCTTGAGTCGTTAGCTTCAATATGGCTGCTCTGATGGTATCCGTTTTCTGACGGAAAAAACAGAACACGTTTTCATCGGAATCGAAGGAGCCTGCCTCGGAAACGACATTAACAAGAATGTTTTAGTAACGCCAATTAACAGTTGTACCAGAGGAATCTATCTTCGCCTTCTGGTGGGGTCGAAGTTCGAGTCTCTTCACCAAATATTTTCACTCGAAATGAAACCAGGAGACTCCTGGAAACTGTACTTTTATTTGCATGGCAATCTTTTCCGAATAGTTGCGCAGGTCTGACCCACACAGGCATTGGTAGAAGCTATGAAGCAAATGTGGATTTCGAAGAATTCCGTAATGGTACCTTGTGACATGCTCTTCCATTTCGAAAGAAGAATTGGTCGGAAGGGTTTTGTGACATGATCCTACCACAAACCGAAGCAGGATTGCCGCGTATTTTGCGGCTCATCGTCCTGCGATCTCGATCCGCCGGTACTGTGGCAGTCATTATGAGAGCAGGAATTGACACTTTAAGAGAATAAGGGAAAAAATATACTAAACCACCTTTCCCCTCCTCCATTTACACACTGAGAAACATGTAGGATGTGATTGGGAGAATATGTTTGCTGCTGTCGTGTCTGCATCCCTCCTGTTAAATACTGTCGAGGTATGGAGCTAGGCTTGTGATTGGTGCAGCAGTGTCGACCTGGTTTCAGGTCATCGGTAGCGGAGACGTTGATTGGTCAACGGAAGGCATGAGTCAAGCGTGGCGAGTGAGACGGCTTTTTGGGCGTGCGTGAGTGCGTTGCGCCATCAACTGGTGGCCGGTGTGTGAGGTGCACCCGCTGGGATGCGGCCTGCAGTGGCGAGTGCCTGTGGCAAGTGAGTGTCTGGCGGTCAGGCGACAGTCGAGATGGGCGAAACAAGGCGAAACAGGCTGTGCCTGGCGAAACGAGGCCCAACTGGGCTGGGCTGGGCTGGGCTGACTCATTGCACCGGAACACTGTCAATGTCGTCTGTCTTCTTCGTTGGTGCCATCTTGCTGCCCTGCTCGCAGACACTACAAGTGTTTCAGTCGGCCCAGGTGGCAGGCGGGGACCAATTCATGAAATGATTAAATGATTAAATAAATCAATGATTAAATGATTAAAGGATTAAATGATTAAATGATTAAATGATTAAATGATTAAATGATTAAATGATTAAATGATTAAATGATTAAATGATTAAACGATTAAATGATTAAATTAATAAATAAATAATTAATTAAATGATTAAATGAATCAATGATTAAAAGACTAAATGAAGAAATGAAGAAATGATGAAATGATGAAATAATG